CCCGGCCTCGGCTCGCCGGGTACGCTCTGCGGACCCCCGCCCGGCTCAACGCCCGGGGGCCGCTTTGCTTCTCCCCGAAATTCCTTCTTATTGGGGGGGGGGACGTGAATTAAGGACCCAGATGGGTTATTTGATGCAAACGCAGAGCTGTCGGAGCCTCTACGCCTCATCCCCTTTGGGGGCCAGAATGGGAGAAGGTCGTCCTTTGCAGGTAGGAGATGTGGAGCCTGGGCCGGCCATAGGAAAAACGGTCTTTGGCTCGCAGGAAGCCTCAGGAAAGGGTTCGGTCCACATCTGCGCGGGGAGAACCTGCAGATCCTCCTCTTGGTCAGGCTGCTCCACACCGCACCTTGGGGTGCTCAGCCTATGCGGAATAAAGACCATCCTTGCCGCTGCAGAAGCAGACGCGGTGCTGGGGGAGGGGCCGGCTCAGCCAGCCTCCTAGGCCTTCTGCCCACCTGGGGAGGGGTGCAGGCCAGCTGCAGGGTGCCCACCAGCCTGGCCAGGAGAGGGAGGAGCCACAATAGACCCAGCCCCCACCAAGTCATTCCTGCTGGGAGAATTTGCTTTCTGACCTCCTGCTGCAAAGGTGCGCTGGATTTGCCTGGGAGTTGGGGGCCTTGGTGGTGCCGTGATGCGGTTGGAGGTATTCTGGGACGGAGGAAGCGGGTGGCACGCTCGGCTTAGCCCTGCGGTGCTCTGTTGTGCATTTTGGAATGGGGTGGGGTGTCACCAGGCAGGAGAGCAGCCCTCTGTGCTGCATGCCCCTGCCCGAGGGGTCTGTGTAGAAGCACAGAGGACCCCCACAGACCATGTCACACCTGCTTGCTCCCAGAGCAGCCTTTCGAATTAGGGTGGCCTGCAGTGCCTGGCTCTGCACAGGGAGGACAGAGTTCTGTGTATTTGCTCTTCAGTTGACAAGCACCTGCCCCATGGGCAGATCATGTGACCAGGAGGTAGCAGTTCATCCTTAGGTCTGACTGAAATACCTGCAGTGGGGCCTCAGGAGAGTTGCTGGGCAGTTCTCTTCCCTGCTGCCCTCAGCCTTTGGGGAGGCTACCCCTGGGAGCAGAGTTCTGTGAGCAGAGAGGCAGAGAGCCCTTCCAGTCCTCCTGGGTCAGGACTCCTCCAGGCATCTCTTCTCTTGGGCTCATGCTGATGTCTGGACCCAAAAGTTTCAACTGCATTGGAGACCCAGGAGAGAGTCTTGCTGGTCCGTGGCAGGTCTGGGGAGGCCTTGGTGGGCAGCTTAGAGAAAGCAGGGAAGGGTCCAAACTCACAGCAAGGGAGCGATGGCTCTGGTCACAAGACTTCAAGGACTGAGGCCGCCTCTGGGCTGCTTGGGACAGTGACTGAAGCCCTGCAGATCAGGGGGGCTGCAAGGGCCAGGTGGGAGTGGAGGGAAACTTCTGGCCTCCCTCTCAAAGGCCTACTTGCTGTGCCTCTCCCACCCCAGGCTGGGCCCCCTCCTGTTCCTAGGAACTGAGGTGGCTTCCATGCCACTCTCCAGTCCAGTGCTGGCTCTGCGTGGCCTTACCATTGTCCCAGCCAAAGCAGACTATGTCCCCACTTGCCCCAGGGAGCTGAGGGGAGGGAGGGGCAAGAGCACTGGACTGACCCTTGTGAGCACTGGAACCCCTGTCTCCTGGGTGACCCCTCCAATCTCCCTTCCTGGCCTTCAGAGGTGCCCCTGGTTGACAGTGAGCCAGCATCTCAGCAGCTCAGTTCTCCATCATCAGTTCTTGTCTGAAGTTCTTGTCTGAGCAGGGGAAGGGAGACACCATCCCTGTCCTCCAGTGACTGATGGCTCTGGGAGCCATCTCTAGAGGTAGTGAGTTCCCTCTCACTAGGTGTAAGCAAGAGGTAGCTTGGTGAGTGTGCTATTAGTTGTGGCAGGCCCCAGCACTTGACTGTTGCTAGTCACTTATGCGCTCAGGCACAAGAATGCTGTGTGGAGGCCTGAGGTGTAGGAGTCAGTGTGTGAGGTCTCAGAGCTAGTACCTGGGGTACAGGTGTACTGAGATGCTCAGGGATTTTGGTATGCAGAGGGTGAGCACATGTGTATGAATATGCACATGGGCGTGTGCACACTCTGGCACCTCATGTGTATGCACCTGCATCCCTGTGAGAGTAACTACACACGGGAAGAGTTAGATTGTAGGCCATCCAGGTTCAGCGGGTGTGCAAGGGATATGTGTCTTCCTGCATCTGCAGAGGGCAGTGTGGGGCCCAGGAGCCAGGCTGGGCTGTGAGGGAGCTGGAAGGTCATAGCCTGGGATATTGAACTTGGGGCCCCCTTTCCTCTGAGCCCTTCAGACTGTACCTGCAGGTCTTGCCCCACTAGGACTTCCTCTTGCCCACACCAGGCTCTGAAATAGCAGGGTGACGGCCGTTCTCCCACCCTGGTTCCCAGGTTCCTAGGTTCCCAGGAATGGGGTATGGGTCAGGCGTGGGGGGCTTGATGGGGTGCTGGCCTGCCTCAGTTTCCCCTGCTTGTCCTAACCCTGCTGACCTGCTCAGGGCTGACCCAACTTCTCCACTCCCCACCTACTCCTCCCAGCTCTGGACTCTGATCAGAGCATCTGGCGAAGGCCAAAGGGGAGAGCCTGTCCACCCCCCAGCATGCACCCTGGGGGCACCAGGGTGCAGAGATTTCTGCAGGAGGGTGTGCTCTGGCCAGACCTTCCCCATGCTGACAAGAAAGCCTTGGAGGAGGCAGGCGGGAGCCAGTGAACTGCAGTGCGAGGTGGATCCTGGGAATTAAGACTAGGTAGGGCAGGGTGGGGGACCGGCTTCCTCACTGGCTGGGGCCAATGCCGGCCCAGTTACAGGGCACCTGCTGTGAGGAGTGGGAGCCAGCGGGGAGGGGCGACCTGCGGCTCAGCAGAGCAGAGCAGCCTGCGCTGTGGCTGCTGTGGCAGGAGCAGCCGTTGCCTGGCACCTCTGCAGTTGCCATGGTGACGATGGAGGTGCTAAGTTGCTAATGAGTCCCCCTCGGCTGCAAATAACAATACTATAGTGGCTAACAGGGCCAAGCCTCAGCTCCCAGGGTTCCTGGGAGGCAGAGCAGGGACCAGGTACTAGGCCTTGAGCCCCCTGCCCACCTCTCCAGCTCCCACCCAGGGCCCTGCAGCCAGACTTGCCCTTGCCTGCCCTACCCCCTGGGTCAGGCCCACCACCACCCTCCTAGGCCTGCGCTGGTTGCCTGTCTTCTGAATGGGCACCTGCCCAGCCAGCTTCCTTCAGGGCTGCGTCAGGGCCAGGGCCTGTGAGTGTCCTTCTGTACTGGGCGTTCTCTGCTTCAGGTGAGAGCACTGCCCACTTGGCAGGTGAGGATGTTGAGGCTCTGGGGTGGCAAGCCTGGGGACCCCCAGCCCCCAGTGCCCTACCTCACTGTGGCCTGCTCTTGCTCTAGCCACCCAGGCCTGCACAAGCTGCTCTCTCTGGCCCAGAAGACCTGCTGGCCCTTCACCAACTTGTACAGGATTCAGGTTAGAATTGAGGAGAACTTCCCAAGACAGTTCATATAGGAATTAAATCTGTAGGCAGGGCCCCCTTCGGGAGGCAGCAATCCCCTCCGCAAGTCGGCAGGAAGCCCCTCACTCAGCAGCCAGGGACTGTCACTATTGAACTGGCCCCTGGGGACGGGGGGAGAGGCTCAGTCCTGGCCTTCCCCCAGTGGAGGAATGAGGAGAGATGGAGGCATGGGAATCAGCGAGTGGGACTCCCGGGCCCCATGCCCCTGTGCTGCCCCACTCCCACAGTTTTGTGGCTCAGCATACGGCTACCTACCTGGCCTAGTGAGGCCAGCTGCAGCAGGGCAGGAGGGGACAGGTCAGGGGCTGAGCTGCAAGTGCCCAAGGAAAGGGGTTCTGGGGGTGGCCAGGGGCAGCAGGGCTCTGTCCTGCCTCACTACATCTGTTGGTGGTGTGTCGAGGCTCCTCTGTACCCGCCTAGCTACTCTGCCCCCCTCTCTGGGATTCTGCCCACAGCCCTCACCCACTGGCCTAAGAGCTGACCCAGGGGATAGAGAGCCAGTGGCAGCTGTCACTGTGGTCCCCAGCTTTATGAAGCTGTTTGTGATGTTTTGAGGTCAGGTATGCCACTCCAGGGCCCCACGTGGCTGTGGGTTGAGGGCCCATTGAGGGGGTTGTGCCCACCTTGTCCCTCTGCTACAGGCTCTGGGGTACGCCCTGGGCTGGGACAGATAGGGTACAGTACAGACCTCCACTGAAAGGCTACCATGGCACTGGGGGGCCGGAGCCATGCGGGCCACCCAGGACCCTGGGTTCTGTCCAGCCTCCTTGTGTGTGACCTGGGTGGGTCTCACCCCCGCCCTGAGCCTCCTTTTCCCCCTCTGTAAAGCAGACTTGTCATCCCTGACACTGTGTCTGCTAAGGGGCTGTGAGGCTTGAGGGCACCTACAGAAAGGCCAGTGCTGGCCGGTGACAGGGGATATAGGACTTGACACCAAGCCTGCAGGAAGGGCTTCCGGTGTCCCCAGGTGCCCGCCACCTCTAAACACCCCTCAGCCCAAGGACATTTGGGGCCATGCTGAGGACCTCTGGTGTCTGACCTTCATGTGCAGGCTGCCTCTAAGGGGCCCTGAGACCCCAGGCCGCTGCTGCGCCGAGCACCGCCCCGCACACCCCACAGGGGCCAGGCACTCACCCCCACCCCTTTGTGCAGCAGGTAGCGTGGGCCAAACCTCAGCCTGCAGAACTGGGACAGTGCCGTCCCTGTCCTCACATCCAGGCTCCTCCTCCAGCACCCTGGCCTTCAGCATCCAGGAGCCAGAGCCAGCGAGGCAGTCCCAGCCCCTGCCCCCCACCAGGGTGGGGATTATCGGCTCAGAGAGCTGCCCTTGGAGATGAGCCTCTAGGGATTGGCCTGGTGGCACTGTGCCAGGGAAGGAGGGCAGGGGCAAGGGCAGCTAGCTGGGCAGAGGGCAGAGGGGCGAGGGCAAGCTCTGGACCCGTCTTGCTCGGGGAGGGTAGATAAGAAGAGGACACCGGGGCAGAGGTTCCAGAACAGAGGAGTGTAGCTGCAGGCCAGGGTGCAGAGGAAGGACCCTGGGGACAGTCTGGACCCTTTTTCTGGGTCCCTCTTACCCTCCTCTGCCTCCTTGTGCCTTGAGCAGCTGCTGATGCCAGGACTGGACAGTGCAGGGGCTGGACAGGGTCTCCTCTGTCCTCCACCCTGGGTGAGACTGGTGCGTCTGGGACAGAGTGCTCCAGGGTGCACGTCTGGGTTCCAGCCCCAGCCTGCCCAGGAGTCTCTGGCCACCCCCGGGGCCTGTGGCGCTGCTGACAGCCTGCCTCTCCCTCAGGTCCGGCACCATGCACTAGGGCAGTCTCCACGCCGCAAGGCCGTACCCTCCTCACTTCAGGGTCACCCTCCCCACCACACACTGCCCCACCATGGCCGGGGACCGGCTCCCGAGGAAAGTGATGGACGCCAAGAAGCTGGCCAGCCTGCTGCGAGGCGGGCCTGGGGGGCCTCTGGTCATTGACAGCCGCTCCTTTGTGGAGTACAACAGCTGGCACGTGCTGAGCTCCGTCAACATCTGCTGCTCCAAGCTGGTGAAGCGGCGGCTGCAGCAGGGCAAAGTGACCATCGCGGAGCTCATCCAGCCCGCTGTGCGCAGCCAGGTACCCTTCGCCCGTCCCCGAGAGTGTCCCCGTCACCTCTGAGTGCACAGCCTCCTCGGCCCCTGAACCCACACTGGGCTCCTCCAGCTCTCAGGCTCTCTTGCTCACCTGCCAGCCTCCTGCCTGTCTGCGTGCCCACTCAGATCACCAAGGCGGTGGGCTTGCCACACCGAGGGGTAGCCCCTCACGGGGTACAGAGAAGGACGAGAGTCACAGGGGCCTGGGGGCTGACACACACGCAGGCCCAGCCGGTGGCCACTCTGACTGCCATGAGGGCGGGAGGAGTGGTCTGGGGTCCATGCTGAGCAGTCCCTAAGGCTAGTACCCCAGTCCTTCCCTCACCCCCGGGGTCTTCAGTGAGCCAGAATTCTCTCTGTGGCCCCCCAGGAATGTCCTTGCAGGAAGGAACTGTTCATTTGGACAGTCCATTTCTCCTCAGAACCACTGAATCCAGCTACTAGGGAGGGACGCTGAGCCAGTGACCTGTGTGGGCAGCAGCAACCCCTCTACCACCTGAGGTCGGGGCAGCCTGGAGGCTGAGGGAGCATCCTGGTCACAGTTCTTCCCCACTGCGGCCGGGATGTGAGAGGAGCCGGGGGGGATGGCTGCTTGACAGGAGTCCCCACTCAAGGCCAGCATGGCTCCCCCGCGGCTCCAGTGAAGGGAATCCTGTGATTAATCACCCCGTGAGGACTCCCGGCCAGAGTGCAATCCCATTGGCTGCCGATGACATCATCCAGCCAGGGTTGGTGGCTCAGCTGGCTTAAGGACTGAGTGTGCTTGGGGGGTGGGGACCTCAGCCTGTCTGAGCAACAACGCTCAACATCTGGCCCCAAGACTGGCCCGTGGGGTAGGGAGGAGGGCAGGGGTCCCCTGCAGCCTCAGTTCCTCCGTCTAGGGGCTGGAGGGGAGAGGAGTCAGGTGGACCAGCAGTCAGGGCACTCAGCCTGGACCCAGGGCACTGCACTGAAGTCCAAGAAACATGCTTCCAAGAGCCTGAGGATGGCTCAGCCACCCTGGAAGCCAGCTCAGACCTCATACGTGTGGCACAGGACTGTCACTCTCCTGTGTCTCCGACATGGGCCTGGCCACAGTGGACAGCCACTCCGTCTGTTTCCTTCATCAGGAGCCCCTCCGTCTTTCCCTGGTCTGATGCCTGTCTGCAAGGCCATGGGTGTTTGCACCTGCCCAGGTGGGGTGTGTGTGTGTGTGTCTGGGCAGGCGAAGGAGAATGTGTGAGGTTGTGGCGGCACCTGCCCACCCTCAGGGAGCCAGGTGACAGCATCCCCTCCTCTGGGCCTCTGACCCCTCACTCTTTCCCTGAACCAGAGGCAACAGGCAGTGGCAGGACACAGGGCACCTGATGGGTGCCCCTGGCGCCCTGACCTCTGCCCTCACGGCCCCCAGGTGGAGGCCACGGAACCCCAGGACGTGGTGGTCTATGACCAGAGCACACGGGACGCCAGTGTGCTGGCAGCAGACAGCTTCCTGTCCATCCTGCTCAGCAAGCTGGACGGCTGCTTCGACAGTGTGGCCATCCTCACAGGTGAGCTCGAAGGGGCCCCTGCCAGGACACCTTCTCCTCTTTCCCCCTGTCTCCTTGGCTGGGACGGGGTGTCCAAGGAGGCCAGTGTCTGCTGGGGCAGCGGGGAGGCTTCAGGACCTGTGTGACCTGGGCCTGCCACCATGGTCAGCAGGTAGAAAGGTAGACAGGAGGAAACCCCAAGGCTAGCTCTTTTAGAGCAGGGCCAGGGACCCAAGCTCTGGGTCACAGGGCAGAGGCAGAGGCCCCACCCTTGGGAATCTGTCTGAGCTAGAACTGGTCTGTACCCAGGGGGTCTCCCTGAAAGCCACAGCTGACCACAGATTGCTTAGCAACAGCCTGCTTAGCCCCCGGCACACACACACACACACGCACTCACACACATGCACACTCACAGGCAATGGTGAGAGAGATTCTGTGGGATCTCCTTCCTGGGGAGGTGGCCCAGGTCCCAGAGGAGCCAGATGGAGCTGGTGTGTCCCAGGAATGCCCACGCTCCCCCCCGGGTCTGAGGTCTTCATCAGCATTCCTGCAACCCAACCTCTGTGCACCACAGGGTGTAGCAGGCAGGTGGAGAGTGGAGGCTCAAGACAGCACATACCCACCCTGAGGGGGACAGTGGGATGGCCAGCGAGCAACCAGGCTGGCCCTCTGGCTTTGGTACCTAGCAGGCACAGTGGCCCCCAACCCAGGCCTTGGGGACCTGCAGACCACATTAGTCAGGCTGCTGGGCAGGCCTCCTGAGGGGCATCTAGGAGGCTTGGGGTTCTGTACTGCATGCAAGGTACTTGCTATAGTCTCTCGTGTCTGAATGAGTTGACACCACCATGCAGTCACTGTGCTGGGCACCTGGCCATTGCAGCCATGTGTCCCACTTGTGATGTCTCGGGGCATCGGTGGTCTGCGCTGCCTGTGTGTGAACTGGGGACCCATAAGCACAGCACAGAGCTGCACACCCTGGAATCCAGTCCTCTTCCCCCAGGTTACCGTTGGGAGGCCAAGTCAGAGTGGAGGGAGGGAGGAGTCCTGGGCCTAACAGGAGCCCTTCTGGGTCCAGCTTGCCACCCTCGCCAGGAGTGGGAGCCATGAGGCTTTTCTGAGAGTCAGAAGTGGGTCGAGAACACACCTCCCTGACCTGCTTAGGGAGGGGGCCAGCGCTCAGAAGGGCCTGCCTCCCTGGGGGTACAGGGTGGGAGGCTGGGGTTTGCCTGGAGGGCATGGCTGATCTTGTCTGTCCCCTACCCCACTCAGCTCTCAGCTTCCACCTGCTCTTCCCATTCTGAATATCCATCCCTACAAGGTTTACGTCTGTCCCCAGTTCTCTAAGGGCCAAGCCAGGAAGGAGGCATGGTCCCATCACATGAGGTGGGCTCATGGTGACACCAAGTCAGGACTCACAGGCCTTGCCCACCAGCCCTCCTCCCTAAGGTGGGCATAGCCCCTGCTCTGAGGCAGCCCTCCTCTGAGCAGAGAGAAGGAGGGGAGTGGGGAGTGGGGAGGGAGCTGCCTGCTGTGACCACCAGCAGGGGTGCCTGGTCCCTGCTCCTCTGTTGTTCACTCCGGACCCCTCCTGGGCCCCGAGGAGAGGAGTGCCAGGATGAGGAGGATGGCTCAATGGAGGGAAGGGGACGCCCTGGCAGGGCAGATCTGCAGCAAGCAGGAGCAGCACTGTTAATTCAGGGTCTGCTACTGTGACCCAGCCCCCACTCCACCACTGCTGCAGGCTGTCCTGTCCAGCAGGGGCAGGGACAGGAGAGGGCCTAGCTCTTCAAAGCAGCGGTGTGCCCTCCCTGGAGCCAGTGCCTGCTGGAGTGTCGGTCCTACAGAAGGAGGGCAGGTAGTGTCACAATAGTGCCCCCAACCCAGCCCTTGCAGCCCAGTCCAGACACCCCAGAAGGCCCTGTACCCCCACAGGAGCTGCAAGAGCCCTCCCTGAGTCCAGAGGGACTGGGAACCCTTCCGGGCTCTGTGGTCCCATGCAGGCAGCTGCGAGTCTGGGACCCTGTTCTCGGGACAGCAGGAAAGGTGAACGTGGGGTCTGTCTGGCGGCACACATGCCAGTACCTGCCCTTTGGCGTGTGTCTGAGAGTTCCTTGTGGCTAGCAGGTTGCCCTCCATGACCCCAGAGAACAGGCAGCCTTGGTGGGCTGTAGGAAGGTGTCCTTGGGAAATGGCTGGAGGCTAGGGAGGCTCCTAGGCCCCACAGAGACCCACTCACTGAAGTCTGGTGCCCCTCCCTTGCCAGAACATCCCCAAAGCCTGGACAGCTCTGAAATCCTGAAACCTGGAGACTCTTTAGAAACACCCAACTTGCCTGGCTCTGCCTGGGGGTCCTGGGAGGCCTCCCTGGGACATGGCTGAGAAGGCCACCAGGTGGCCACACCTGCCAGAACTTCCCTGCTTTGGGAGGAGACGGGGGTGGGAGGACTCTGATGGAATCCACACCCCATGCTGTGGCCTGCTCCTTCCTGTCCAGCCAGCAGTTCCTAAGGAAGGAACCACTTCTCCTCCAAAGCTAGGGCCTGAATGCTCCCAGGTCATCTCCATGCCCCCTCCAAGTCAAGCCTTCTTTGGGTGTCGAGGAAGCCCACACAGCACACATTCTGGGTGGATATTGTATCAGCTATCTGTGAGCTGGACGGGGGTGAGGCCAAAGTGCCAGACTTCTCTGTCCTCAAGAAGTGTGGAGGTCTCTGGCACCCACTCCTGAAGACCAGGGCAGGAAATAGCATGGGTATTCCCAGGCCCAAGACCCTGCCTCCACTTTCCTGCCCTTTCCCATGGGATGGGGTGGGTCTGAGCTGTTATCTCATGTGCTAGATAATTGGTTGAGGCCAGAAACAGGAACCCACTTGCTATGAAGGTTGTCTCCCAAGAAATGTGGACACCCCGGGGAATTCTAGACAGACAGGTCTCAGCTTGCCCTGTCAAGAACTGGTGGCCACTGGATGGGTGCTGCCCAGTGCCTGGTCAGACTCAGCAGTCACCCCAGCCAAGTCAGGTGTGGCCAGGTCCATTCTCCTGTCTCCCTAGTCATTCTTATCTTTGAGCTGCACAGCAATGCTGTGTGGCAGGCAGGATAAGGAAACTGAGGCCAGAGGCCTGCTCTGCCCCATGTGGCTGAGTCAGACACACCAGGGACCCCGGCTTGAGTCTCTTCAGCCGTCAGTGAAGGGTTCCCTTCATAGTCTGGGGCCTGGGACTTGCCTGCACACGGAAGGTGGCAGGGCAGATGCTCCCTGTGCCCAGGTTTCTCCTATTGGTGGAACAGAGCTCCGACCAGAACACAGATATCCCTGCGGGCTATGCCAATCCTAGTGGGTGATGTCATGCCCGGGGCAGGGAAGGGCCCTCTAGAAGCCCTTACCTCGGAGGCCTGGCACCAGAGCCCAGGTGTGGGGCTGCCAGCCAAGTGGAGTCAGGGAGGGATGGCATCAGTGCAGCAGAGGAGACGGAAGGCCTGGCCTGGCCTGGGGCCAGCGGTGTGCTGGGACTGAGGAGGGTGCTTCTCCCCAAGCTGTGTGACCCTGGCCCTCAACAGGAGACCCTGTGGAGGTCTGAGCCAACCCTGGCCTGGACCATCGCATGCTAGGCTAGCTGGCCACCTCGACCCCACATTTATGGGCATCACAGCAGCGTCCACAGTGGGGCCCTCCCTTAATTAGTATGAGAAGGAATGTGGGCGTAGGTTCAGGCTGTAAGTGGGCGGCAGCACGCGCCCCCAGCGTGGCAGAGAGGCCGGCCAGCAGGAGACCAGGTACCTGGGCCAGAGGCTGGCTGGCTAGCTCTGCGCAGGGTCGGTGGGGTGTGGCTGAGCTGCGGCAGCGGATGCAGTGCCCAGGCTCTCTCTCCTGCCCCAGCTGGCCAGCCGGCCTGACGTGCCTCCTGTGCCTCCTCCTACAGGCGGGTTTGCCACCTTCTCCTCCTGCTTCCCTGGCCTCTGCGAGGGCAAGCCTGCCACCCTGCTGCCCATGAGCCTCTCCCAGCCCTGCCTGCCTGTGCCCAGTGTGGGCCTGACCCGCATCCTGCCTCACCTCTACCTGGGCTCTCAGAAAGACGTCCTGAATAAGGTGTGTGCACCGCTAGGGATTCTGGCTGACAAGGGAAAGAAGCAGGGGTTCAAGAGCTAACTCCTGGGGTAGCCTGGGGGAGGAAGAGGGAAGGGGCGATGGATGAACCAGGGTGGGAGAGCATGTGGTGGGGGCACGGGACAACAGAGGGCCCCAGCCCAACATAGCGGAGCAGGGCATGGGGGAGGTACCAGCAGGGCTGGGTGGAGAGGCAGGCTCCCAGCCCCTTCCATGGTGGAGCTGGAGCCCGCATGCCAAACTGCTGATGTCACTGGGCCCCTGCCAGCTCTGAAAGAATCCCGTGTTTTAAAAATGGTGACAAGGGAAAAGGGTAAAGCCACCGCCCAGGCAACCATGAAATTCCTGGGAGCCTACCGCAGACTGTGGGCGGAGCTGCAGGGAGGCCAGCGGTCCCCCAGCTCCAGCTCCAGGCCTTTGGGAGATGGGAGGGAGCTCCTAGGCCCAGCCCCTTCCACATGGCCAGAACCAGGACCAACTGGGGCTTGGGATCTAGGCTCAGGAGCACCCCAACACTCACGGCCTTCAGGCTGCAGAGAGGAAGAGCGTCTAACCCCACCAGGGGGCTCTCTTTTCTCTGCCACCTCTTCAACCCATCCTCCTTCCCCTCCAGGATCTGATGACCCAAAATGGAATAAGCTATGTCCTCAATGCCAGCAACTCCTGCCCCAAGCCAGACTTCATCTGCGAGAGCCACTTCCTGCGCATCCCCATCAATGACAACTACTGCGAGAAGCTGCTGCCCTGGCTGGACAAGTCCATCGAGTTCATTGGTGAGGCTGGGTGCTGCTGCTCCCCTCCCAGGAGGGCAAGCCGAGACAGAGGGGAGGCCAGGCACTGTGGCCACTCTGCTCAGGCAAGGGAGGGGTCCCTGAAAAGTAGCTGGGACTGTTGATACAGGTGTGGGGGGGTGCTACCAAAGGGAGGGAGGGGCCTAGCAATTTCAGCTTTCACTTGGTCCCCATGGTTCTGCTCCCAGATAAAGCCAAGCTGTCCAGCTGCCAAGTCATCGTCCACTGTCTGGCTGGCATCTCCCGCTCTGCCACCATCGCCATCGCCTATATCATGAAGACCATGGGCATGTCCTCTGATGATGCCTACAGGTATTGCACTCCTCCTGGGTTCCAGGTGCTTGAACTCAGCAACCTATGGCCCACAGCATCCCCTCCCTTCCCCTCTCCACCCACTGGCATCCGAATGGCCCAACCTCCTGCCCTGGCCAGGAAGAGGAAGTCGAAGTCCGTGGGCACACATCAGTTGATGTGTGGGACCTAGTGAGAGCCTCTCCCACTGACTACCTCTCCTTGCCCACTCCAGGTTTGTGAAGGACCGGCGCCCATCCATCTCGCCCAACTTCAACTTCCTGGGCCAGCTGCTGGAGTACGAGCGGAGCCTGAAGCTACTGGCTGCCCTGCAGGGTGATGCGACCCACCCTGGGACCCCTGAATCCCTCCCAGGCCCTGCGGCAGGGGTCCCACTGCCCCGGCTGCCACCACCTACCTCAGAGAGCGCTGCGACGGGGAACGCAGCGACTACCGCAGCCAGGGAGGGCAGCCCAAGCACCGGTGGGGAGGCCCCAGTGCCCATGGCACGGGCTACCAGCGCACTACAGCAGGGCCTCCATGGCCTACACCTCTCCTCCGACCGCCTCCAAGATACCAACCGCCTCAAGCGTTCCTTCTCGCTGGACATCAAGTCCGCCTACGCCCCCAGCCGGCGGCCAGAATGCCCGGGCCCGCCTGACCCTGGAGAGGCCCCTAAGCTCTGTAAGCTGGACAGCCCGTCGGGGGGTACGCTGGGTCTCCCCTCACCCAGCCCCGACAGCCCGGACCCAGCACCCGAGGCGCGCCCACGTCCCCGCAGGCGGCCCCGACCTCCCGCTGGCTCTCCTGCGCGCTCTCCAGCTCATGGCCTCGGCCTGAACTTTGGCGACGCGGCCAGGCAGACTCCGCGGCATGGCCTCTCAGCCCTGTCGGCTGGACTGCCCGGACCAGGCCAGCCGGCTGGCGCAGGAACCTGGGCGCCTCCCCTGGATTCCCCAGGCACTCCGTCCCCAGACGGGCCCTGGTGCTTCAGCCCCGAGGGCGCGCAGGGGGCGGGTGGCACGCGGTTCGCAGCCTTCGGCCGGGCAGGTATACCAGGACCAGGCAGTGACCTGCGGCGGCGGGAGGCCGCCCGGGCTGAGCCCCGGGAAGCGCGGACCGGCTGGCCCGATGAGCCGGCCCCCGACACGCAGTTCAAGCGGCGCAGCTGTCAGATGGAGTTCGAGGAGGGCATGGTGGAGGGGCGCGCGCGCGGCGAGGACCTGGCCGGTCTGGGCAAGCAGGCCAGCTTCTCCGGAAGCGTGGAGGTCATCGAGGTGTCTTGACCCCTCCGTGGGGTCTCCGCGCCCCTCTGCTGTCCTCAGCACTCCGGGCTCGGCCGCCAGTAGCCGGACCCAGTATAAATATATATTATATATAATGCAAAGAAAGGTAAATGGTTTTACTGCGATTTTTATCGAGAAGTAAATATTTCGATTTTTTTATTTATTTAAGCTGTTCATTCTGGCAATGATTTGGCAACAGTGCAGGGCGGGCCTCGGAGCTCTATTTTTACTGTCTGGTATTTAACTGAAACACAGTTTCTAAGCAATAGGAGGCCACCTTCAGTTGCGAGCTGGGTGCCAGGCTGGGGCCCCTTCCCGCTCCCTCCCCAGGAAACACTGCTGACCTTGCAAAGAGGCTGCCAGCTTTCATGCACTTTTTACTTAAGAAAAAGGGGAAAAAGGAGAAAAAAAAAAAAACTTTGCCACAAACTGAGCCGCAGAACCTCCCTTTCCCCCCCTCCTGCCTCCTTTCTCCCATCTCCCTTCTCTTCTCCCTTCTTGGGCTCTGCACCAAAGCCATAAGTGGGGGAGGGGCCCTGGAAGCTGGGGCCCTCCCAGGAGGTGCCAACCCCCAGCTCCAGGTGCCAAGTCTTGCTTTGAGGAGCACCTTGCTGCCCACCACCCCATTGCTGTTCCCTGGCAGGTGTTGGTGAGCACTGGGTCCAATGGGGCTAGGGTTTTCAGAGGGACTTAGCAAAGGGGACTCCAGGACAGGGACGGGGTTGGAAAGGGCTTCCCACTCCTGCCTGAGTCGCTCCATTCAGAGGAGGCTGCTCCCATCTCCTCTCCTTGGGGATGCCCCCTAAAGCCCCTGCCCATGGGGAACCCCAGTGAGAGACCTGGGCTCTCCGGGACTCCTGTGTCAGGCAGGAGGAGCCAGGCTAGCCAGGGCTCTGGGCCCACCTGTGAGGAGGGCATGGGTTTAGGATCTTGTTCTGGGCTCTTCTCCAACCCAACACCAGCCTCAGGCAGGTCTTGGAATTCAGGTGGACACCTGCAGGCTGAGTGGCCTTGGAAGACGGGCCTGCCTTGCACAGGAGTTCCCACCTGCCAAACCTGCATGCTTCCAGGGGATGGGGCCTCTGACTCTGGGTGAGCCATCCCAGGGCAGAGGAAGGCCCCAGACAGGAGCAGATGCTGGAGAAATCCCCTCTTCTGCCCCCACCCCCACAGGGGCCTCTCAGGAGAGAGACCCCCAGTACACCCCTTTCCCAGGGCACTCTCCCTGTGTCTTCAAGGTGACATGCCAGCCCCACCCCCCAGGGGGCTTTCTGGCCCAGGAGGGCCAGCCTCGTGATAAAGGCAAAAGAGAGACCCCCATCACTGTCCCATACTCTCTAAGTCATAGGGACACAAGGCTTTGAGGGCAAGATACAGGTCCCTGCCCCTCAGGTGTCCTAGAGTCTAGGATTTGGCTGTCACCTTAGGAAGGGGCCAAGGGCTTGGCCAGAGGGAGGCTCACACAGGACTGGCTCCTGTAGCAGGCCTGGGTCCTGCAGCCTGCTGCCCCCAACACCCCCTCGGCCTTGTCTTTCTATTTGTTCTTCATTTGACCTACACCCTGTGTTCCTGTTGTTCCTCCTTTCAGCAAAAGTCCTGTTCCTACTCCCTCTGTCCCACCCACCCTGTCCCCCCCTAAATAAGCTATCATTGTTGTATTTGCAATCTATGGATTAGAGGTTTAAGTATTTATTATTATTGGTTAATATTATTATTATTGATTATGTAAATTTGCCTCCTGTCTGTCGTGTTGGGTTTCTGAGGTGACCCTGGGTGTGGAGGATGCACTGGCTCCCCCCTCCTCGCCCCACCCCTGCTGTCCCGGAGACAGTGGTCTGGGGCCACTGGTTGAGCCCCCAAACTCTCGGGCCGGTCCCAAGGCCCCTCTCCTGCCCTCCCCAGGTGTGGCTTCTGTCCTGGGGTACATAGGGCTGGCAGCCTGTCTCTGCTCTCACTCTGTGACACTGGTCTTGGCTGCCACCTCCTGTATGCCAGGGAGGCTGGGCACGAGCTCTTCCCTGGTCCCTTTCCACCTACTGTCTGAGGTACGGAGGGGTCACTGGGTCCCATCCAAGCCTCTCCACCCATCCTACCCCACCCACCTGGCCACTGCCTGGCATTGAGATGGCCCAGAATGGACCTGGCCCCCTCCTATTATTTGCTGGAAAGTCCAGCGCAGGAGAAGCGGCCAGTCCCCCACCCAAGGCTCCTGGTCCCTGAGGACTAGGACGCCAGCCTGCTGCCCTTCAGACTCCTGCCTCCATGGGCTGCACTTTCCTGTCCCCCCTTTTGTATTTGGAAACAATGTGCTGTAATAAATCCTAAGACGGATGTTTTCCCAGAGCCTGGCTGCCTCTTTCTTCATGCAGGTGGTGGGTGGGGGTGGGGGTGGGGAGCAGTCTGGAAGCTCCCTGAGGCCAGGACCCTGGTGCATTGGGCCTGGAAAGGCTGCTTGCCTCTTGCTGTGTGAGCAAAGTGCTGGGGGAGGGGGCAGCTTGTCCCCTGTGGCCAGGATGGGGAGGGACTGGTCTCGGGTGCACTCTTGCCATGTATCCTTTTTTATTGTTACCTGCTAGTAAAAGTAGAAGGCTTAAAAACTCCCCTCACCCAAAGCCCCACTGTCAACATCCTGCAGAGGTCTGTACCTGTGTGTGCACATGTGTGCACAGGCTAGATAGTAGCTTTCCCATTAGAAATGGGATCTACTAAGTACCACTTGTGCATGGTACCAGGATCAAAAGGACACAGGATATCTGGTGGAAAGTGCTGCCGTGTGTCCTACCCTGTGCCCAGCCACTGGGTTCCTCTCCCTGGAGGTAGCCTGGCCTCGGCCTGCACACACGCACCCTGTCCAGAGCATCCCGGTGTGCACCAGCTGCACAGATTCCACATTGTGAGCGCAGCCCTTGGCTTGGGCTTATGGACTGTGCGGCATCACAGCCACATGGCCGTGAGCATCCTCCCATGCTCCTAAGGGTGGGCTTCCAGAGAATCTTTTCTAGGTCTCTTCACATTGGCTCAGGAGTCAGTCCAGCAGCAGCTGGAATGTAGCCAGCTCTCAGGATGCACCAACCACCACTCAAGGTGCTGTCTGGAGTTTCCAGGCGGTTCCTCAGCAGATCAGCAACTGTGAGAGGTTTGGCTGATCCGTCCAGGGACCCTTCCTTCCCACTTTGCAAGCAGATATGTACTTCAAAGCAGTGATGTGACACCGGGTCCAACACATGCAAGTGTGTCTGTATGCACATGTGTGTGAGTACTTGTGTGTGTGAGTACACAGGTATGTGCAAAAGAGGAGGGGGAAGGGGTGCAGTTAGTCCTCTCCACAGGCTGCAGAAGACAGGTCCTCGAATCTTGCATCCTCAGGAGTCCTCAGAGAGGCTGAAAGCTGGGAGCATGGTCTGACTCCAGCAAGGCTATTTTTAGCTCAAGAACATCTATTTATAATCCTGACAGCCCCTAGGAGTCAATAAAACCAGGACTGGAAAAAGCTGCTGATGTCTTGGGCACACAGTGTGCCCCACCCCATGCTCTTGAGCACCTGCAGCAGCAGGGGGTGTAGTGCAGGGATCTTACAGGCTCTGGACTCTGGTGACAGTGTGAGACTCCACACAGGTGTCGGGTAGTTGCCATTTGCTGACTCAGCCAGGTTGAGGTCAACTTGACCAAGGGCAGCAGAAGAGATGGACATGCTAGGCTGGCTCCAGCTGCCCTTGACTACCATGTTGGGGATGCCCAAAGCTCCCCCAAAGCCATGACTCCTTGCTTCTACCCCTACACTTCTCTTAGTCACCTCGTGGCTTCTGGATGGGTGGGTAAAGGTAGAAGGCTGTGGGAGAGTGGGGATGAGCAGATAGGTGGATGGATGGCGGGTGGGTAGACAGGAAGCAGAGAGGATAAGTGCGTGAATGGATAGGAGGCAGGAGGATGGCTCTGGGGGATGGAGGGGAACAGCAGTGCCTTTCTGTGAGTCTGTGTGTATTGAAGCTGTGTGCTGACCCTCATTCTCCCACTGTGCTGCCAAGAGGCTCCTGGTCCTTGCACACAGATGGAACCCAGAAGACGTGCAATGAGTAAGCCACACACTAGCAGTCCTGAGGCTGGACCCACCACAGAGCCCAATTCAGCCCGCTCCAATGCCCAGAAAGAAGAGAAGGTTTGTCCCTCAGATGTCAGAGGCAAAATTGGGCTCCACTTGGTCCCTGTCCCACCGGTCCTGGGCCTGGCCTTGACCTGCTGGTCTCATTGACCCTCCAGCCCCTGCAGCCCTGCCAGAGCTTCTGTGGGTGTGTGCACCAGGCACTGCCCAGGCTCAGGACTGAAGGGTCTGGGCAGGAGAGTGTGGAGGCTGGTCCTCAGAAGGGTTTCCTGGCCTCCAACACACGTTGTGCCTGAAAAGGCTGAGAGTGCAGAGGGGGCGCTGCCGAGGACCACAGGGTGAAGAAAGGGCACAGGAAGCGCTGCACAGGGGAGGAGCCACACAGAGGCTGAGGGCCTCAGGCACAAAGCAGGGGGCTGCCAGGGAAGGCCTCAGCCAACACCCAGCAGGAGCCTAGTAAGTGTTCTTCATCCTTCCCAAACTGAATGAGGACTTGCCTGGCTTCAGAGCCTGCTGGTGTCCCCAGGTCGGCAGCAGCTGCCAAGGGGGTATTCTGAGAGGGCAGGGTCTGAATGAGCAGACTGGGAGGGGGAGCCTACTCTGGGGGAAGGGCTGAAGAAGAGGAACTCTGGAGTGGGAAGGGGCCAGAGCAAATCTCCATAAAGGACCACCATTGGGACCCCAGAGGAGGTGACAGAGCCCCGCTGGCTGCTCAGTCCAGAGACTCTCAGTGCCTTTGCAAACACCAAATGTGAAAGTCGAGTGCAGGAGGACTTTCCTGGGCAGCTCTTTGAGCAGAAGGGTTGGGAGCAGAGGGGAAGGCTTCTTCCCCTTTCCACGGGGAATCATGCAGCAATCCAGGGTCGGGCACCATTGGCATGGTAGGCAGAAGCCAGACTCAGGCTGATGCAATTGTCCGCCACAGCTATAAATAGCCAAGGAGAGCCTGAAATAGAAGTAGGGGAGAAAGATGGGAGGGGTGCTGGGGGACAGGGAGCCCCGGAGCCTGGTGGGAAGGAGATTCAGTCTGAGTGCCAGAGCCAGAGGAGGAAACAAAGCTGGGCCAAAAGCATCCTGCCCTGCCCCAGTCCATAGGGTGTTTGCACCCGGAAACTGGGAAGCAGGGCGAAAAGTTGGGAGCTCTGCACAGCCACGCCAGAGCAGTGACTCAGAGCCCAGGCCTCCGAGCTGCTTCGTGGGTGGGGAGGGATGGGGAGCTGCACCCACCATAGCTCCCTGCCTTGGGCTCTGGGTCTCTATTGGACAGTAGCCCCTTCTCCTGATACCCACAGGACAAGCTGAAAGAGATTCCAGTGCCCCATCTCTCTCTGCCCCTTTCTAGTCAAACCCGTGCCTGGGAGACCCCCCAACATCCCTCACACTCAGTAGGGCTGGGATGGGTGGACCCTAAGTCTGCCCAGAACCCTGAAGGAAAGAGGATCTCAGATGGGGGCCTTTACCCCATCATTTGCCAGGAATCTCCCCCAGGTCAGAGGCAGAACATTGCCCACCTGTTCAAGAACACACTAAAGCTCATGGGGAACCAGCCGCACAGCAGTGCTCTGGGCCGGCATCTTTCTGATCCAGGTATTCTCTTCCCACCTTTTGCCCTCATACCTAGGGTTGAACACCTAGGTATAGGCCAGGCACCCACAGGCAGGCAATGCTGAGCACTCACAGGCAAGACCCTCATCCCAGCCAGGTAGTGCCTTCCAGAGACTTGGGAAGAACACACCCTCCCTGGGTTTCCCCACCAAGTGCCCTTCTCTGTTTTCTGCTGGTGGTCAGCCGCGAGAGGAAAGTAAGGCTTGTGGCTGGGGGGCTGATAAGAACAGGTGGATGTCCCTGATGCAGCCAATAACATCCTGTGAGCAAACCCTAACCGGACCTTCAGGGAGTAGCAGAACTTAGGGTAGGGGGACCGGGTGTGGGAGGGGGAGTTCGGGGCCCTCCCTTTCCCTGCTGGTAACTGGCAGCCCCGCCCCTTCCCGAGATCAAGGCCCAGCAGGGGAAGGGCTGTGTCAGTGGGTGGGGCTGCCAGGACAGGAGGTGACATCAGCCCGGTAAGGGGTACTCAAGGCAGCGGTGGCTGGTGAGGAAGGAAAGCGCCCTGGGGTCTCCATCCCGAGAGGCCAGATCCCACCCCGCTTTTTAAAATTAATTAATTTATTCCTCTGGTCTAATCAGATATACATGACAGCAGCCCATTCCACTTCTTGTGGATAGCGGGCGCAGCCCAGGCTCACAGGGGCAGGAGGCCAGGCGCTGCAGGGCAGCGCTCACTCCGGGACAGTGCGGCGCCCTTCATCCTCAAAGTGGCTGCTCTGGCGCTTGCGCCCGGGATCCCCAGACCCAGCGAGAACAGAGCACAGGCGCGATGAGCCGCTGCGCTGCTGCAGCGGTCCTGGCTAGCGCGCCTCGGGGTCCGCGCCCCGGGAGAGCAAAACCTGCTCGGCAGGAGCTGGCGAGTGCCCCCTCCTTGCGCGCCGGGACCGCGTTCCTCCAGAAAAGGCGCGTCTCAGTCGCCGCACACAGCGCCCTCGGAGCTGGCTGCGGCCGGGCACCTCGGCCACCCATACGCCGCGCTCCCTCAGTCTGGGGGCGGAGAGCAGCCCGCAGCGCCACCTGCTGCCGGAGTCCGCGCAGATCGGGGGACGGAAGGCTAGGAGGAAGACTCCGTCGGGCTTCAGATCTTCAAGTACCCCGCCGCGCGGCCCCTCCCACTCTCCTTCGGAGGCCCTCCCCTCGGCCCGCCCGCTGACTCCGATTTGCCCACACCCGCGCCTGCCCTAGCCTCGAAAAGGTCGGCCACACCCATGGCTTCAACTGTCAACTTTCCCACTTGTATCTGCAGCCACATTTCCTCCTTCCTAGGCCTTCGGGCTTGGAAATGCCAAGTTCATCTGGACGGCTTCACCAAGCTCCCGAGGCTGCACCTCCCACCCCTCTTCTGCAGCTGTTTACTAAAGACCTTCCTCCGTGAGAAGGTGCCCTCCCTGGCCTGCCAGCCTGGCCATGGTCCCTGCTGACCTTCCTGGCCTCAGACAGAGCCTTACTCAGAAGACCCCCAGGAAGAGCAGACACACACACCTGTCCCCTACCACGCCCCCATGCCCAGCAGAGCCTGGCATTAAGAGTTCCACCCCAGGGTACCGGTATCTCCTGGTCCCCTGGAACTGGTGGGTTAGTTAGTTTGCACAACTAACTTTTCTTTCAGAGTTCTGGAGGCCAGAAATGAGAACAA